ATTTAGAACCCGTGACGAAGTTCAGGAGGTTCGACAGACTCGAGATCCCATTACAGGATTCCGCGACAGAATCGTCGGGGCCGGCCTCGTCGAGGTGTCCGAGCTGAAGGCTATCGAGGCCCAGGTTAGGAAGGATGTCGACGCCGACGTGAAGAAGGTAAAGGCGGATGGAGAGATCGGACAGGAGGAGCTTACCTACGATATATATGAGGAGAATCTCGGGGGACAGGTTCGAGGGGTGGCTCCTTGGGATCATTGGGATCATAAGAAGACACAGAAAGCTATTAATCTTTAATCCATTATTTACCTTCTCCGTTCCCTCCTTTGCTTTTTGAAATCGAAAAGTGAATTTTTCAAAATTATTTTCTCCAATGCAAACACATCATTGTATGAATTAAAGTCATGAAATACAGATTTGTTTATTTATTTTTTCTTTTATTCAACACCAGAAAATACAACAAAATATTTGACGACATTAGACAATTACTTTTTCCGGCCGAAATTGCTCATCTTAAAAAAATGATTTCCCCCATTAAATAAAAAAAAATTTAGAGTTAACAAATATTTCAACTGTTGGGGAGAAAAATAAGTTTTTAAGATTTTAAACACTGAATATGTTTAGAGCCGTAAGGGTACAAGCATGGATGATTAGAATATGGCTTTATTATTGAGCGTCAATTTTTCTCACTTGTTCATCAGTGCAGTGCAGTGTTTCAAGAATTTACATTTGTTTATGGATCAATAATTATGAAATAATTTTCATTGAAGGATTCTTGGGTTATCAATGACGGGAGGGGGGGAGGGGGTTATATTGGTAGAAATGAATGACCCTATGGTTCAGAGTAAGGATCCTGGGATTGGAGTAATGAACCCAGGATCTTCAGAAGTGAACTACTATTCCAGAATTGCAAGTAATCAAATATTGAAAAGAACCATGTTAAGAAGAAGTTTATTTTGAAATTACAACTAAAGCAAAAAATATTAGATAAAAAGTGATTCCAGTTTTTTCTACATTTTTGGATCCCAGTGCAGTTAAATTCGAACATTTGCCTACAATCTTGATGAAAGTTTCAAACTGAAGATCCTGAGTGAAGTTTTCTTGTGTAGAAACTGAAACAGAAAAAATATGATATAAATTGACGTAAAAACATGAACATTTATAAATCTTTGGCGAATCGAGAATTATTTTTGCTTCGAAGTTCACATTATAAATTATTGTATTACAGGGGAAATTAGTTCAAAAACTAACACTTGGCCCATATCTAACACTGAGTGTCAGAAATGGGCCAAATCTGCAAAGTTATCCTTCTTAAGCGTATACATATTTTAATCTTTGTGACAGAAACAATCTTAAGAACTGACGAGGGTCAACCCAGACCGAAATATATTTTCAATAAATGTGGAACTAACATTTACTTTTTTTTACTCTACAGAGGTTTGGTCCATCACCATCACCTAATTTTAAATCAAGAGTATATCTTTAAACCCAAGCCGAAACAAAACTGCACCACACATTTATTAAGAAATTGCTGAAACTATTTATTGAAAAAGAAATGTCAACTTTACACTAAAATTAAGGTGTAAAAATTAGTATTTGATGATACTTGATTACACTTACGAACATACCTATTTGAAACAATTATTGAATTT